AATCCGTCGAGTGCTTCTCAGCTAAAGTTGGACTTACCTAGTGAGACTATTTGTCCCAGGTAAACATACTCGTCAACAACTATGAGCTTAGTGCTCCCAAATAACTACCGTCATAGATGTGATATGGACGTTACACATGATCTTTGTTTTGTCCATGTTCATTTTAAGACCTATTCGTTGGGAGACATTATTGAGGTTATTGAGCATAGTGCTTAGGTCCTCCAGCGATTCTGCTATAAGGACTATATCGTCGGGAAATCAAAGGTGAGTGATGTACTCGCCATTGATGTTAATACCGTATCCTTTCCAGCCCCGTAGCTTGAAAACGTCGTCTAATGCAGCGGTGAAGAAAATACATATCGGTGTTACTAAATTAATTAATTTTTTAGTCTTCCAAAATAATAAATAATAAAAAATCCCTTCATAGTTCTAAATTCAAGTTAGTTTATATTTATAAGTAAGTAAGATTTATAATATTATAAGGAGTAATAGTAAATATAATAGTAAAAAATAAAAGTTTAAAATTTGTTTCATTACGAAACACTGAATGTGTTGCCTAATGAAACAAATTGAAAAATTATTTAATTTAAGAAATATGTCCGCCAGATTGTGCATGTGCTTATTTCTTGTTATTTCGTATTTTTGGGTGTTTTATCCTAATTGCTTTTGTATAGCACAAAACATAGGGCTCAAGAATGTGCTTTAAGGTAAATTTTGTAATTGGTGAAGTGACAAATATAATAAAAGACTTATAAAAAGAATATGTTAATTTCAACCAAATCAAATATTTATGATGGTTTGTAGTAAGACACTTTCTACATTATGTGCAGACAACTTGGAATTTTATAACATTTCACGTTTTGGTTTATTTTATTTTCAAAATATTATCTTGTTTAAAATCGTGAAATAAATATGCCAACAATACTGAAAATCTTTCTTTTTGCCTAAGTCCTACAATTTATAGAGAGTATATGCCGATTTCTAGGTAACAAACAGTGTTTTTATTGTTATTTAGAAATCGACAAAATACTTAAAAATAACAATATGAATGGATATATATTATAATATCTATAGTTATGTATAGTTGAAGTAGTAGTTACTAAACTAGCTTCCAGGCGGCGCTGTTGTCGCGGCCAATTTTTACGTTAGAGATTCTTATCTGTTTCCGTATATCTATTCCTTTAAACGAGCAATTCTTATATATATATATATATATATATATATATATATATATATATATATATATATAATCGGAATCTCGGAAACGGCTCCAACGATTTTCATAAAATTATGTGTGCAGGGAGTTTCGGGGGCAATAAATCGATCTAGCTAGGATTTACTTTTAGAAAATGTCTTTTTCCGTGTTTTTAGGCAATGAAAAACTGCTACAATATCGTTAGAATAAGAAGGTAAATTTTGACAGTTAATTAATGATTACAAATAGCTTAATCGGTATATTGGGCGGTCACAAAATCGTAATACCATGGTTCGAGCCCAGACCGACCGACCGACTTTTTTTTTAATTTTTTTTTTCAAGTTCCTTTCTTTTTTGAGAAAATCTATTTTTTTCGAGCCCTTTTTTTAGTATTTTCTAAAAATACTAAAATTTAAATTAAACTAATTGCACTCATGATTTTTTATTCAAATAACAAGTTCAGTTTTTTCTATTATGTCGCTACGATCAAAAAATATTATTCGTATTTCATCAGTATGTAATTTGTATCTAAATATAATTTCCAAAACACACGAATTAAAAAAAAACCGAGCGAAAAATACCGAGCAAAGCTCGGTCAACCGGGTACTACATTCTTATCCGTGGTCAGTGTCGCTCCGCGTAGAAATGAAAGAGAAGCAAAAAAGACGCCAAGATGGCGCGATGTTTCGTTGGACTCGTTTGAGTTATTAATCATTAAATGTTTTAATACTTACAAATATCTTATTTTAATCGATAAATAAAATCAACGGTTCCCTTTATTATTATATATTACATATATCAATCGCTAGAATTTCATTTTTAATGAATTTTTTATTATATTTTTCTATCGAGAAAATTTTCCGAAAACGTGTTTTGAACACAATGGTCCCGTAATATACATGATCAAGATTAACACATACTTTTTTTGCAGCCCTAAAATGAATACACTTTCCTAAAAAAAATGTTTTCTGAAGCCTACTTTGACTACGTACAGCGCCTTAAGCTACTATTTTACGCTGGTATTCTGTGAGAGGGTGGTCCTTCCCCGGTTGGGCCGACCCATTCGTGCTACAACTATACTACTAATATAACTGCACCATGGCTCTACCACGTAAAGATATTTTATATGAATACCAATAACAGAAGTTTGCGAGTTGAACTCTATTACGTCCACAACCAGTTGGTTACATTTTAAATTGATATTTGAATACGTGCACCAAACCTTTTCCAAAGGTTAACTTTGTCAACTGTTTCAGCTTTGTTCAGCGGAGACGTTAGGTTAATTGTAGTATGTAGTAAAAGTTGAATGAAAATTTTCCTAAATTTGAACATGTATTACACATACACATTAAGACCCTTTTTACTGAAAACGAGGCGTTCTATCTCAGTCCTCAGGGGTTGACAACGAATCAGCATTTTGATTCATATTTGAAGATGTCTATGGGCCATAGCATCCACTTAGCATCAGGTAGAATGTGTGCTCTTTTGTGACCTTTATTCTATAAAATAAATATTATAATAAAGAAATATTATATGCGTGGGACGAAAGAATAATTTGTGATCTAAATAGGGGCCCAGGATGTAGTGCAAGTAAGTAGAAACCTTACCTCATTTTTTTAGTAAGATATTCTGCTAATCTAGGTAAAAATTACTTCGTTGTTCGTACAGCAAAGTAGTGAAATAATTTTCCGACGTTTGTGTTTTCATCCGCTTATGATATAAAGGTGTCTTTAAAATGTCAAAAATAGGCTTTCTTAACTCTTTTTCTTAATAATAAATAAATAAATATTATTTAAGTATTTTTTAATGTAAAAATGATAATAGTAGAATAAAAATGTAGTAATTACTCGGGCATGAGAGATGAAATCGTAAGAGAAGTTAGAAAAATTACTTGAGCCGTTTGAATATACATATATTGTTTTGTTTAGGGAATCAAATGTGTTTCCGATAATAATGTTGTATTCTCAAACATGTTTCATTTCGGTTTTAATAAACCACAATACAATACAGTATTGTACACTTAGAAAACAAATAACAACAAGAAACAAACAAAAGACGGTCTTATTGCTATGTAGCAATTTCTTCCAGACAATCTAAATAGGAAATAAAAATAAATGAAAAGTTAATTAATGGCTAGAGTGAAAAGTAAATTAATAAACATGCCGGAATTTACTTAATTGACAGACTAGTGATCATAAAACGACAGGAAGGTATGAGAGTAGGAGGGAGGAATTTAGAATTAAAGATAATGATTTAATTAATAATAAAATTCTTGGAATTGAAAACAAAATTTAAAGACTATATACTAAATAAAGAATCATTGAAATGTGTCACACAACACACACACAAAAAAAACATACACTCGAATTGAGAATCTCCTCCTATTTGAAGTTGGTTAAAAATAAAACTTTTAAATGCCCAAAAAATTGCAAAGTTCGCAATAATCCTCCATGAAAATAAAGAGTAGTAGGTGTAAGCTAAAAATAAGATGGTGATCATAAACTCTGTTGCTCCAATCCGTTTGAGATTTTGGTGTACTGGGGTTTTGGAGTCCTTAATTATAACATTGAGGTCGAATCGTTCGAATCTATAACATCGATTGGTTAAATTTGACTTGTGTAATTTAGCGGGATAGGAGTCAACAGTAAACAGTAAAACTAGACAGTTGCAACTTGTCTAGTTACACCATCCGATATAAACAAGACAGGAGGGCTACTTTAGGAGTTAGAAATATTCGTTGGAGCCAAGGTGATTTTGCGTTACAATGTAGATGTGACCAAAGGTCTGGTGAATGGTGCCATTAGATATATTATTTTTTATTTTTTATATTATTTGGTGTGGCGTTGAAAGCCGTGATCAGGGGGGTACAGTTCCATAGTAAGGCATTTGATCATAGAAAGTGTCGCCATCAAGTGTATGGTACGGGTCATAATTTCCTCAGTTTACATTGTATTAGTTAGTTTAATCGCCACTAGATGGCAGAATTTGAGAATCTCAGTAGTGATCCATGTTACGCAGTATTGGTCAATTAACGTTCTGCAATTTTTATTTTTTATATTTAAGTATTTAAATAATTTGCTAATTTAAGTTGTTTATTTATATCATATAAATTATATACTATAAATTTGTAGCATCAATGACAAATAAAAGTAGTATATTCAGTGATTTTTTAAAAGTATAAATAAAACTTTTCGGTTTAGTTTGTCGCGTAGTCTGTAGCGGAAACTAATTATAAGTATTGTGTAGCATAAAAGAAATTTAAAAGTTTTGAAACTTTTATTGGTGTTCGTTATATTCTTTTTAGAGTTTTGAGTTCGATGTACAAGTGTTGTTTTTCGTATCTTTAGATTTACTTTGTTTTTAGCTTGAGATCTTCTGGTTTTACTTAAGTTTCCTATAGCTTTAATTATATCGTTATTAGTTTTGTGAATAAGTTTATTTCGTAAGTTAAGCACCTAGGTGTAGTCTTATTAGCTGTAAATTATCTAGTTTATAGTATTAGGAATTTAGGGTCGTTTTAAATTTATTGTATAATGTCTAAGAGTCAACAAAAACGGTGCATCCTAGGATGCTCTGATATGGGTAAATATTCCTTAATATAAACTTCTTTTTAAATTAATCACAGACATCTTAGTATCCTTATTCCTTAATAATTTTCTTAAATACTTCTAACAGATAAGTAGGTAATGAAGTTATTGACTATGTTCCCATTTCTACAGGTGCATACATGCAGATTTCCCCATCCTGAAAGACGTTCAGAATTGTATAAACGTTGGATTTCCATAGTAGAAAAAAGTTATTAGAGATGGATCCATTGGCGGTGTACAATAACAAACGTATTTGTGACAACCACTTTAAAACAGAACATAAAACTTCAGGTCATCGATTAATCTTTACAGCTGTACCGTCTCTATATTTAAATGGTGAGTTCACTTATGTCTGTTTTTTTTTTTGTAATAGCGATGTTTCATTTCAAGTTGTCATAAATTGCGAAACAAATAATTTCATATTAATATAGTTTTACACGCAATTTATATATAATAAAATAGATTACAATAAAAAAACGAAATGTTTTAATAACATATAGAAATCAAATATTAGAGATTAGGTGTAATAACTAATAATATCCAGTCAATTTTTGGTTATGTGTGTTTTAATTTAATAAGAGCTTTATAAAGTTGTTTCCTCATTCCAGGTGTAACTAAATCTCCCAATATTTCGGTGCAACTTGAACATAATTATTGCATTCCACGAATGTATAAAAATGTACATGTTGCTGATATCCCTACAGAAAAATTGCCCAGTCATCTAGTTGACTACAAAAAAGGTATTATAATATTTTTTTAATAATGAAGATGATCAGAATCACTATTTCCCAATAGAGTAAATGGGGCCCTACACTCTATTGTGAAGAGTCAAAATGTGTCAAAAAAGGCACGTATGGCAATTCACAACGCTGTGTTGGTCCCTACTTTAACATATGGTAGTGAAAGTTGGGTGTAGCATAAGAAGCACGAGAGTAGAATAAACGCAGTAGAAATGTGGTTGTTAAGGAGTAAGTTGGTGCTGAATTTAAATGACATGGTGAGAAATTGTCTGATAAGAGAAGAGTGTGGTTTGCAAGATGATGCTGTTGAAAACTTTGCCAAGTTATTACTCACATTTGTGCGAATGGGCATAGTACAATTAATTTACTCTTGGTGGCGCATGTTTTGTACTGGCAAATTTGTTTAAATGTTCTATATCATTCAATTCCAATGAATAAACTATAAAATTTTAAACTATATTCTCACAGTTATTCTTCTGCAGTAGGAACATGTCCAGTACTAGCTAGTATGTAATAAGACTTTCTTTATTTTCAGTTTCTTCAAATCTCAACATTCCTTTAATAACTGAGAAGTTTCAACTCAATCAACCCTCAACATCAAAAATGTATAAAGATGAAGGTAAGAATTGCTTCTCAACATATTTTTTTTACCATCATGCTTGGCAGGTGGATTGACATTAGTAGTACCAGAAGTCTCAAATCTTTAAAGCTACTACCCATTGCCAGCTTGCATGTTTTATATCTGTTAAAACAAGACAGTTTTATTGACATCTATCAGACGTTATAGGGTTTATAAGGCCTTTTATGACACATATGGGATGAAATGAGGTGAGGGATACTCATATAGCACCACTGCAAAGCACTTCGAGGCAAATCTCTCTACAACTGGTTGATGGAAATAATATCATAATACCTTAGAATGTTTATTTTGGGACATTGTTAACTGTCAATATTTTTGTGTTTAGTTTACTGATAATGTCATCATCATTCTCTAAACCATTTCCCATTATCTGGGGTCGGCGCAGTAAATCTTCTTGTTCCATTCCTCTCTATCAGCCGTCATTTCCATACTTACTCCTTTCATTCTCATATCACCCTTCACACAATCGATCCATCTTTTATTCGGCCTTCCTCTGCCCGTGTGTCCCTCCACATTCATATTCAACACTCGTTTTGTGACATGACTTTCATCCCTCCGCATCACATGCCCAAACCATGCCAATCTGCTTCCTCTCACCTTTTCTACCACTGGCGCTACTTTCAGGCTTCCTCTTATATACTCATTCCTTATCTTATCCATCCTTGTCACACCACACATCCATCGTAACATTCTCATTTCATTCGCATGCAATCTATTTTCATCCTTCTTCTTGACGGCCCAGCATTCACTTCCATACATGACGACAGGTCGGATGATCGATTTGTAAATTTTCCCCTTCAGCCTTATTGGCATTCGGGGATCGCACGTTGTGGATGTGACCTGTCGCCATTTCATCCACCCTGCGTTAATCCTATGCTGCACAGCTCTATCTATTCCGCCGTCGCCTTGAATGAGGGAACCGAGGTACTTGAATTCTGAGCAGGTAGGCAGTATAGCGCCATCCAACGACATGGGTACAGGACTGGAAAGACCGCCGAAATCACAGCACAGATATTCGGTTTTGGATCTGCTGATCTTCAAGCCAACACTTTCCAGCCTCTGTTGCCACCCCCGTCAGTCTGCTCTGTACCTCGATGCCTTCTTCCCCGACAAGCACGATGTCATCGGCAAAGAGCATGCACCAGGGTGCCTCATCCTGCAGGTCCGACGTCAAAGCGTCCATAATCAGTAGGAAGAGGTAAGGGCTCAATGCCGACCCTTGGTGCAGCCCCACCGCCACATCGATACTGCCCGTAGTTCCCGCGGCAGATCGTACACATGTACGGGATGCTCTGTACATAGCACGGACTAACCTCACATACTTCCCAGGCATACCCTTCATCTTTAACGCCCACCACAAAACCTCACGGGGAACCCGATCGTACGCCTTTTCAAGGTCGACAAAAACCATGTGCAGATTTTTATGCACGCGCTTGTACTTTTCGCACAATTGGCGTAATGCGAAAATGGCATCTGTCGTACCTCGACCGGGCATGAATCCGAACTGGTTTTGTGTTATCTCACACTCTTCTCTCATTCTTTTCTCTATTATTCTTTCCCAGACTTTCATCGTATGTGACATGAGTTTTATTCCCCGGTAACTGCTGCAGTTTTGAACGTCTCCTTTGTTTTTAAAAATGGGGACCAGTACACTACTGCACCATTCCTCAGGTATTTGTTCTTCCTGCAACAATTTACCGAAAAATAAACTCAACCACTTCCATCCATCCGCACTCAGCAACTTCCACACTTCTACTGGTATTCCATCTGGGCCGACCGCCTTCCCATTCTTCATATTGCTAACAGCCATTTTTACTTCTTCCACATTAATTTCTCTCACTAAGCCCATATTCACTGGTGGGTTTTCAAGCATACCATTCCATTCATTCTCCTCATTCATCAATTTCTCAAAATACTCCTTCTATCGCTTCTTTATACTTTCATCGTCAGTCAAAATCCTTCCAGAATCATCTTTTATACATTTTACATGTGAAACATCTCTTCCATTCCTTTCTCTCGCTTTTGCAATTTGAAAAAGTCGTTTTTGACCTTCGGGGCTTTCAAGGGACCGATATAATTTATCTTGCACCTCTGCCCTACAAATAGCAACTTCCTTCTTTGCTCCCTTCTTACATTCTTTATACGCCCCTCTCTTACTTTCTTTTATGGAATCATTCTGGTCTTCTACGCTCTGCCATTCTTTAAAGGCATTTTTCTTTTCTCTCAAAACTTCTCTAATACTTTCACTCCACCACCACCCATCCTTATCTATCATACGCTTCCCTTTTGTTTCTCCTAACACCTTCCTTGCCACACTTCGGATACAATCAGCCATTTCCTTCCAGCACTCATTCACACTCATTCCTTCCATATCACCCATCTCTATCATCTTGTTTACAACTAGCTCTCTAAATTCACTTGCATACTCCTCCTTATGCAACAAATGCCACTTTATTTTGGGTGGGGGACGATCCTTATGTTTGTTGAGGCGAACAGTTAAGCAGATGTCAGCCAGCAGAATTCGGTGCTGGGATACTAAGTCTTCACCTGGAAGCACTTTGCAGTTTTTTACACTCTTGATTTGGTTCCGTCTTATCAGAAGATAGTCAATCTGTGTCGCGTGGTGGCCACTTTTATAAGTAACAAGATGCTGATCTCGTTTTTGGAACCACGTGTTTACTACAGCCAGGTCGAAAGCACATGCTGCTTGCAGAAGAACTTCCCCCTCACGGTTCCGCACTCCGTACCCCCATCCACCGTGTACTCTTTCATACCCGTCATTCACTCTCCCTACATGTCCATTAAAATCTCCTCCCATATAAACATCCTCACTCTCAGGTATTCCCATCATCATACAATCAAATTCCTCCCAAAACTTCTCTTTCACACTCTCTTCACAGCCTGTTTGCGGAGCATACACACTTACAACATTCACTACTTTGTTTTCAATCATTAATTTAACAACTATCATTCTGTCATTTACTCTTTTCACATCTGTCACTCGTTCTTTCATTCCACTATCTAACACAACTCCTACTCCATTTCGCTTCCCATCACTTCCACAATAATAAAACTTGTATCCTTCCCCAATCTCTCTTGCTTTATTGAACTTCCATTTTGTTGCCTGCAAACAGGCAACATTCACTCTTCGTCGTTTCAAAACATCTGCTAACTCTCTTCCTCTGACACTCTGACATTCTTCTCTCTCCGGGCTCGCCTCTTACGTCGCACCCGCTCCGTAAGGTGCGACAACCCTTGCCCACTTCCCACAGGAGCCGGGTGCTGCCCCTGCGCGTTGCCTGCGGGGTACGCCCTAGCCCTGTCATATATCCCACAACTCGTAATATTCATAGGTTTACTGCATGGGATTTGGCAAAAGTTTTACAGTCGGCCGCCTGCCTGACACCAACCCTCTTTGGGTATGCTATTGTTGGTAGAGGAAGCTACCATTTTGGGAAAAGGAAAAAGAAGGTTGGGGGTAGGAGCGCAGGTGTAAGGATACTGTTATCTCGGCAGGAAAGGTATGAGAATAACAGTAGCTCGGGGAGCCGGGGTCGCGTACCCGTATTCCATAACAGGATCACCGGAAAGGTAGACCAGCATGAAAACCCCCTGACTATAGTTTACTGATAATGTAGTTAATAAAAAAATCAATGAAGGCTCATTAATTAATTGTCAGTCTGTTTAACAGTTTTTCTTAATTTAATTGTATATAATCAATTTAAACTTATATTCCGTTTTGTTTCAGCTATGAATAAAAAATCATTACAATATGTTATGAAAAAACATAAGCATCTGAATAAACAGGTTAGGAAATTAAAAAATCAAATAAAACACTTTAAAATTATGAAAAAAGACTATAAAACACGTCTTGCAAATGCAGAAAAAACTTTTGCTAAATCAGCCTTTCAAAAAATAACCAAAGATATGACTTTACCAGGCAAAATTTTCACAAGCATGCAGTAACAGCAGGCTGTTAAAAAAACAAAAGGCAGACGTTTTAGTATCGAAGAAAATATACTTGCTTTGTCACTTTTTAAAAAGAGCCCCAAATGTTACTCCCACACCACCACTTATAAATATTTTAAATTACCATCTGCAAAGTGTCTGAAAAGTTTATTGGGTGATTAAAATTAGACCAGGTATGAATAAAATTATATTTGAAAAATTAAAAGAAACCTTTGCTGGAATGAATGTGGAAGATCGTTTGTGTTCATTGATATTTGAATGTGCAGTATAATTCATCCAGTGATGAATCTAAAGAATTTGCGTGTAATAATACCAAATAACTAAAATTTGCTAATCGTGCTCTTGTGTTCATGATCAAAAGAAATAAAATGAATTAAAAACAACCTGTGTGCTATTATTTTACACGGAGTCTGAATAAATTAGATTTGAAGAAGATTTTAATTGAATTAATTCACACAGTTCGTTCTACAGGCTTAAAATTTTTTGCACAGTATGTGACCAGGGTGTGCCAAATGTTGGTGCAATAAATAGTTTGGCTGAAACCAGAGCCAAATATTTAAGGAACGGGAAGGAATGGAGACATGATTCACTTGAAGTGGATTCAAAACTTATTATCCCGTTATATCATATTCCACACTTAATAAAAGGCATCAGAAATAATTTAATAACAAAATATTTGCGATTCTTTGATTTGGAAAATAAAGAACACGTTGTAAAGTGGAAATATTTACAAATGCTATATAGTGCTGATAAATCTTACGGCGAGCTCAGGCATATTTTGATTGTCATTATAATCATTTGATACATAAAAACCTGCAGTTTTCGGATTGCTCTGCGCTTTTGTTATAAAGTACCTAGCTCTGGAGTAACTTATTTTCCCTGTTTTTAGATTTCTTCATAAGCTGACAGAGGAGCACATAAATCCTGCAAAAATAAAGAAGATGAAAGTAAAAATAGCAGCATAAACTTTCAGTCACTCTGTTGCTGTTGCTACAGAACATTTGACAAAAAGTGGAGTTTTGCCAGAAGAATGTAGGAGTTTAATACCATTTGTGTTGTTTCCTTACAAATTATTTGATAGTTTAAATGCTACAACTTTTCACATTATTGATGGAAAAATATATAGGGGAGGGGTCAAGAAAAACTCTCCACATCATAAATTGTGGCAAGAGAGCTTAAAAATTTTAAATTCAATACAATTTTTAATTAGTAAAAGAGAGGGTAATACAGTAAGAATTTTAGAAACATGTGCACCTTCCATTAAAAAATTTATAAATACTATTGAGTATATGCAAGTCTTGTGGAATATTCTAAGTAAAGAATATAATTTTGACACTATGCTTACCAGAATTTGAACCAGGAGCCAGTGGAATTTTTTTTCAGTAGTATAAGAAGTTTGGGTGTATGGAATATTGCACCAAACGCTGCATGCTTTGAAGGTGCATACACAACTCTACTTTTAAATACTTTCGCTTCTGCAAGAGCAGTAAATGCTAATTGTGAAGCTGATTTTAGTAATTGTTTAAAAACATTAGACTTTTTTTTAGAAGATAAAGTAAAAAAAATGCTTAGTTCAGTTGAAGTCAAAAAAGTCAAAGTGAAATTTTATTAAATAGTAAGTTGTACAATTTTCTCATACAAAATTGTAATGAAACAAATGATACAGTACACCAACAAAGCAGATATGTTTGTGGCTGGGTCCTGAGAAAATGTCTAAAAAAGATAAAAGGTTGTAAAATATGAAAAACTAATTTAATTTATGATAAAATTAATGAAAACAATGAATATATTAAGAATAAGGAATATTATCAAAATAAGCAGTGGCTTTGCTACCCTTCGGACAATGTTGCTCATTGTTTTAATGAAATACAAGACATTATTACCCAGTCTTTAAGATGTGATTTAGAAGTTAGTAATTTTAAAACAGACTTAAAAATGACTGTAAAAACTATTGTTAATTTCCCCCTTCATTTGTGAACTTCACAAAGAAAATCTGACAGAATACTTTTTTAGAAGGATTAATTAATATTATAATTTATAGTTGGTGCAGGTCCATCAATAGAATTTTGACTGGCAAGCTAACTTATAATGATAATGAAGACCCTCTAAAAAAAATACCCAAATATATTATAATTAATATAAAAATAAGAATTTGTAAAGCTTTATTGTATAAGTGATTTCTGTGTTCCTAATAACCTACCTACAATTATACATTAAAAAATTAAGAAAATAATTGTTTTATTTCTGTAAAACTATTAGATGTATTTCATGAAATTTCTCTAATTGTTCCATTTCAATTTTCTACTGATGTATCTATGTTTAGCTAATTACGCTCTTTCATGTTACATATTGCTTTAAAATATTCTAATTATTACTACTACTACTACTAGTAGCTAAACAATGATACATCCGTAGAAAATTGAAATGGAAATAGTATCGATTTAATAAATAATATTGAATGTAAGGGTGAGTAATTATATATACGCACATATTCAAGGAGCATGCATGTGTGCGTGGATTTGAGTATACATACACACATACGCATAATATAAGTAGCGTAACAATCACCAGATGGCGCTCTTTCCAGGGGGGTATCAGTTTTACTCGCAAGAGGGTTCTCTTCTTCCGTATATATTACTATACTCTTTGTAGACGATGCACGGCTTTCAACGCCACACTTCCGTGCCCGTCGGAGTGGGGAGCGTGAGGTTTTTTTCGTTACGGAATTTCTGGATTCGGTCCCCGCGCTCAAGGCCCGCGATAGAAGCTATGCAATAGCTTAAAACTTTTTTAAAAAAACAAGCTTTTATTTCAATGCTCTAAAAAAGAATAAATAAACTTTTTTTTTAATTTACTATAAACTTATTCACGTCATAACACAATTTATATGACAGCTTGTCGCGAGATTTACCCAATGATTTTACATATAAGATCATTGCATTTACCTGTGTAGATAAACAAGTAAATTAAATAACTTGATCTGATTGATTTTAATTTTTAAAATTTTCGAACTAAGTAAATACGAGTACTTAAATCTCACGACAAACTTTGTATCATATAAATTATATAATGACGTTATAATTTGATTGTAAAAGTTTTTAAGGTAAAGTTTATTTGACAATTTTATTGGCTCACGGTGCAGGAATCCTCTGTAGCTCTAGCGGTGAGAAATTAAAATTGACAAACAAAACAGATCTGTATTAGAAAAAGCTACATAGGTAGAACAAAATAGACTTGCGTGGATTTTCTCATTAGAAATAATTGGATCTATAATTGATGATTAGAAAAGCATTGACAGTAAAACACCTCAATTATTTATTGGACATCATGAGTAACGCGTCTAATGTTTACTACATTAAAATTCAATAGAGAAGATGGTTGGGTGCTACCATCTTCTTGGGATCCTATAAATAACAAAATTAAACCCAAACCCAAGCATACCACTGCAAGACTTCATGATACTATAAGCTCGTTTTGCGTAAATCGGACCAAAAGTTAATATTAAAAAAACTGAAGGTAGCCGGACTAAATATGACATTGGGACGTCAAACATCTCAGCCCCCCCCCGTGACCATGGGCGCTGTAAAGCACCCGAAACGTCGGGATAATAATAAAAATAAATTAAAGTAATTAAACGCGATAAAATCCGTAAATAATAGTTTTATTCAATACATTAAACAAATTAAAGCAATTTTATAATGATTAGACATTAACTACATTCTTGGCAGAACTAAGACAAGAAGGGAAAGCTTTATTTGCGTTATTGCAGTATTCAAATGATTAATAATACTATAGAAACAGATGCTACTCCACATTTGCTCAGAACATTAAGGAAAAAATTTTATACATTCCCAAAAGAAAAGTCTGCCTTTATTCTGCGGCTTTCTGTGTGTGCGATAAAAAAATCTCAGTAATATAAGTTCAAAAGTCACAAAGTACCTTTCAATAAAAATAAGCTACAATTAGTTCCGCAGATTGTTTTTAATTTTTAAGCCAGTTCTTGACGACTATCCCACCTGATGGTAAGTGGTGATGCAGTTGAACATAAACTGTGCTGACCCAGCTGGACAAAAGTATTCAATTTTTCCTTGAAGATACCTACAATATAATCGGATGGAAAGACAGATCGTGGAAAATTTCAAAATGATGATAGTTTCTGTAGCAATGGACGTTTGCCTTTCGATTAAGTTATATATTAAGTGACTTATAAATATTCACTTGTAAGTGCAGTAATTTCATGTTAATAACTATCATAGTAATAACAGACTACGTCACTTTAAGTTATTTAGTGTTAAGATTTAATAAAAATCTAAGGAATAACTTTATTTTAGCTAATCCTTGCAAAAATATCCAATACCACCACGAATATTGCTATAAACATTTATGAAATATTGTTTTTTTTTTTAAGAATAATTCCCTATTGTGTTTAAATTTAATTGATTTATCGCCGTAAACCAGGTGAATCGTGAGTAATGAGCGACACATAACTCACGATGTACTTCCGAATAGAGCTGTTTTAATACTCGAGAGTTATATATACATCTATAAAACGAACGGCTTCTAATCATGTCTCGTTATATTTCTTGATGTCTACTGTCAGCTGTATAAAGCTACAGGTCTATTGTTCCTTTTAGCAGTTTCAGACCATGGTGAAAGCTGCTAATCGCGCAGGAAATATTAGAGTGTCAAAGTGTACCCCTATACTACTACCCCTTTTGAGTTCCCGAGCCGTTTTATATAATCATGTCTGATGTAATATTCACGCAATAAGATTGACAGTTTGTTTGAACGTAGAAGTTAAAAAAAAATTGCAAACAATCACATCACAAGAAGACATTAAAAGCTTCGGATTTGGGCTGGAATGCCCATCTTAAACAATCAGCCAGTCTGCTTTATGTCTGCTGTAAGTTGGCTTATTGTCCCAATAAGCTACATAAAAATTATCTAAATTATCATAATACCAAATGTGGTAAGGATTATATATTTGTATTTTACTT